CCAAAGTGATTGCCGTACACAAGTTATGGCACTTCTAGTGTACTTTTGCCAATTTTCAAGTATCAGAGGATGGAATAGTAAGGTTTCATGGACGTCTTTACGTACCTAAAGAGGAAGGACTTAGGAACGAGATGTTGTCAGAAGCACATCGAAGCAATTATAGTGTACATCCGAGAAATATGAAAATGTATCACAACCTCTGCCAACACTATTAGTGAAATGGAATGAATGTTGATATTGCCAAACATGTCCGGAGATGTGTGACATGTCAACAGGTGAAAGCAGAACATCGTAAACCGGGTGGAATGTTGAAACCGTTAGAAATACCTGAGTGGAAATGGGAGCACGTGATGATGGACTTTGTCCAAGGTTTGCCAAGGACATCAAAAAGCCACAATTCCATCTGGGTGATAGAGGATTGTCCGACTAAGTCTGCTTATCATCTGCTTGTGTTTGTGTGAAAGTATTATGAAATGTTGAGTTGCTAAGATTTTGTGGCACATCCAAATGGAAAATGTATAACATGCATTCAAGTTCTATGCATATTGTTTGTTATGCATGCATGTTGTTTATGCCAGGTGAAGTGGTAAGTCGATTTTCCTAACTTAAAACTAGAGATTCATTTTTAGAGCCTCGGCTCATCCCATTATTTTTCAGACATGTAGGATGGATGTTCCTCAGCTTCTACGTTTTAGAGTTCCCGTATATCATGAAGCTGTCTATGAAAATGTGTTTGTGCCTGAGTCTGAAGCAGTATATACTAAGTGTAGCGCTATTGTTTGGGTTGATGTGGGTTTTATTTAGTGGGTTCCATGACTTCATCAGACTTTTGGTTAGGCAGACTTTTCGAGTATAATCTGGTATGGAGATTGGCAACCACGACCTACCCAGACTTTTGTTTTTGTACTTATTTGATGTTTTGTCTGGGCTTGTAAATCTGACAAGGGTTGGTAATAAGAAGCAAAAGTATTTTTTTACTAAACTTGTGTGGTATTCATGTTTAATACTTGTTCAGACTTTGACTTCCACTGGCCAAATTATTAATAATATTAAATGACACGTGTCGCGCGTGACATTGTGGGGGCGTCACAAGCATACTCTGTCTAGAATAAGGTTGCATGAAATTCATAAACAGAAACAATTCAAACATAAAACGTTGAAGAGAGCTGATATGTTTTTTGGATTTATTTTTCAGAATTTGACCTTGTTTTCATTTGTTTATAAATGAGAAAATGACACTAGAAGTGCCATTGTTAGGGAAAATCCCTCATGATGTTTTGAAGATGACAAAATAATTAAAGGCTACTGACGTGTTTAATCGTTGAGTAACAAGGTGACAGATACACAAGTTGTTATGCAAATGATATTCTAAAAAATACATATAGAGGATATGAGTTCTCTATCAAAGGTGAACAAGCCCAGAACGGAGAGTTCGGTAAAGATTGGAAGTACTATGGATAGATGAAGAGGAACTGCTTCTAAAGAGAGTGTTAATATTCAGACAGTATCATTTGATCAAGAAGTCTATTTAGACTTTATTTCGAAGATAAAGTTTGGAATCTGGAACCATTTATGATACTATTCAGACGTAAATCCAAGTATCGTAACCACTAGTAATTTGGCTCGGATTTCCTTTTTTAAATGATTTGATTGACTCTTATTATGGAAGATTGATTTGTAACGAGTTAATATGAAAAAGATCTTGATTGATTGAGAATCAATTTCGAGACAAGTAACCTTCTAATTTGAAGAACTCTACTTATGGAAATTGGAGATTTTGATTGTATAGGCGACCAGAATCAATGGAGATTCATATTCACTCAACGTCTACTTAATTTTTTTAATACAATTCTGTCCAATAGGTAAATTGAAAGATAATCCTCTGAAGACTATTCAATGACAAGATTGGAAGTGGAGGAGTATGATCAAAGTGCCGAGGAGCAGAAGCAAGAGACAAAGTCCAGAATCTAGAATTTCAAAGTTTGAGCGAACTTTGATCTATATACTTGTCTTTCATGAGCTATAAAGTGTAATCAATTGAGAGATGTGAACAGTGTCATAAGTGTGTGTTTAGGTGTGAGATAGTGTGATCTATCAGCTTGGGCATAAGCAGCACCAGCTTTGGGTAGAAGCGCTTGAAAATAAGCGGCACTACTTGATTGTAATCTCTCATTGATCATCTAGTGGAATTCAACCAGTAGGCTGTCAACATGAGAGAGTGGACGTAGGCTTGATCTAAACCGAACCACTATAAACTTTGTGTGCAAATTCTCTTACCCCTAAACTCTTGGTACTTATAATTTATTGCACACTAACAAAACTGCTTCTCAAGTTTGTCCAGGTTTTGAACTTTACACTCTGAGTTTAGACTCAGATCTTGACCTTTTCAATTCCACTTTAAAATTGTCAAGATTTATTTGTATTACCTATTCACCCCATGTCTAGTGATCTTTGCTAGCCACATTAGTTATAACTTTCATGTAATACTCACTTTAGTGTGAAAACTTTTCGAGCAATCACTTGAGTGCCACTTTTTTTATAGAAAAAACTATTACTTCATAGTCATAGCCAATTTGTGTGGCCGGACAATTTGGCGTGGCAATTTTTTAATGTAATCCATCCGACATGACTCGTTGGCAAAGTGAGTTAGAATAATTGGTGCTAAATGATGTCTTTTAACACATTTATTTGCACCGAACTAAGGAATTGAGGCTAAACAAAAAATTGTTCTTCAAATCCTAACCCTAAATTGAGGAATTTGGGCAGAGAGGAAGATGACTACAGACGAAAGAAGCTAAAAATGCGATGTTTGTTGCCTAACCCTATTTTTGAGAAACGCTAACCTTTGCTTCGGAGGAAAGAACATTTTCTTGGAGGGTAGAGAGAATTTGAATATTTTCTCAGAGGAGAGAGGGGATTTGAATATTTTCTTTAAATCCAAACCATGCTCCAGATTAAAGAGGAATACCAATAGCAAGTTAGCTTGCTTTCTTTCCTTTGAAACCACAATACCAACGACAAAGAGAAAGGCGATGTTTGCTCTGTTTTCTCAAGACTCGGACTTGCCCCCATTTTCTTGGAAGGGAGAGACAAAGGGGAAATGCTAGAAATTTTGTGCTGGTGACATGCGAGATGTCTTCTCACGGTTGTAGTAGTGTCACTGTCACCACTATTAGCAGTAGGAGCTCCAGTAAAAATGAAGGGAATATTGAGCGGATCAAGGGCTGTGTTGTTTGTTCCTTTCTTTGTTCTAGTAAAGAAGATGCAGATGAAAACCAAGAAAAAGAAGGAGAAGAGAAGGCAAACCGGTTAAATAATTTGCCGGGTCATCTTGTTATTTGTCCATGTTGGAGTTCAATTTTTTTTTAAAAGTCACGTTGGAATTAAAATCTTAGTAAAAAAGTCACGTTGGACGAATCACCTGAAATTGTTGTCGGGGGCTCCTAAGTGATCTTTTTTCTACCGATGTGCCATTAAGTAATCGTACAAAAAGTTTTGGTACGGAAATGAGCGCCGTACGAAAGTTATGATATTTTTAATAAGGTTGTACGAAAAGTTTTGGCATTGAACCGGTCTGGTTCCCAGTTCCAAGTGAAAAACCACTTGAAAATCGAATTGATTGGACCGAATTTGGATAAGATTTCATATAGGCTAAAAATGCTAATTTTCTCTATATCCCTCTTTTTCTCTGTTCTCTCCAACCTTATTCAGATACTTCATGATTCTTTCTCTTGCTCACGACTCACCCTCCTCCTCGCTCATTCAAGCCTCGCAACCCTCGCTCGTGCCTGACTCGTCTTAATTACTTGCTTGCTCTTGTTCATCTTTTACTTTGAACAATTTTGTTACTTATATTATTTTGCTGACCAAAAGAAGAAACAAAAGAAAAATAGGTTCTCGGATATGTCTTGGACTTGGACCAAAAAAACAAGATATGTTCTAGGGTCGGTTCTAGGGCAAACGGGGTAGGTTCTAGATTCCAAAAACTGGAAACTGGTTCTAACATGATAGGTTTCGAGTTTTAAGTCTGGAACCTACCCATTGAAACTGATCACCCTTAACTTCTAGTGTCCTTTCTCTATATAAAACCAGAAGTTGAACAACTCAGACAACTGTGACATGAGAATGTGAATTATGAATAACGGATCAGACTTAGGCGGAGCAATTTTCTTTAACAATAAACTGATGAGAGTCTCGGCTGGAGGAAGTTTCATCCAACCCACATTTGAGGAAGACATGGCCCAAACACAAACATGTACATGAAAATAATTTGGGTATGCAAGTTAGAATTGTTTAGTGGGTATGTCCGCGAATGACCCCAAGGAGAGGGAAATCTCCAAAGCGCAAGCAAGTAATCAAAGTGTGAGGGATCAACAGGCATAATTGGCTCTGAAAGTTTCGGGCGTCTTCTGACTCTGGATTTTCTTCGACCGGTGAGTTGAGCGCGCGCATGCGGTGTGAATTTCGATCTTGGGATCAAGAAAGGCGTGTCTTCAAAAATCTAGACTTCCACCTCCTCGTAAAGAAGAATGAATCTTTTTATCCAAGGATCAGAAAAGTAAGTGAGTCCTGATCCAAAGACCTTCAGGGTGTATGTGATCCTAAGGCATCCTAGCGCTTAAATCGCTATCGTTCCATACGAGACCCACCGATATCAAAGGCTACATGGATTGGGCTCGTCTGCAATCAGATCATATGATCCCAAAGATGAAGACGCTTGGGCAAAACCTGGACATTTTTTGCATCAGAAGGCCCGGAAAGGCCCAAGTTGGTCATACCCACGTTTCGCTTCTCTTCAGCTTTCACGGTGTTACGAAAACGAAAGAATGGTTAAGCTCGCTGGCGTCCCTTTCACGGACAAAGACTCAAAAGCACATCGCCAGTCTGCCACGCATGAAAGGAAGAAGAAGATTGTGGAAGCTCGTAGACATGACAAGACGCATCTCCACTCCATTACAGAGACCAAGAAGAGCCTCGAAACTTCAAGCAACCCAAGAAGCTCCCTCAAATCTAAATCCATCTCCGATCTCTGTCTATATAAAGCGATCCACATCCGGTGACCATCATCCTATAGCAAGCAGATTCACAGATATCAGAAAAGCTCTTTGAAAAGAAGCACCGAAGGTTGTCACTTCATAACCCTGCAAAACCGACGACAATGTCTCTGATCCCAAGCATTTTCGGCGGCCGATGGGACCCCTTCTCGATGGACGTCTGGTCACCCAACTTCACGTCCAACGATGAGCTGTCGACCTTCGCGAACCTGCGGGTTGACTGGAAGGAGACGCCGGAAGCCCATGTGTTTAAAGCCGACCTGCCGGGCCTCAAGAAGGAGGAGGTGAAGGTGGAGATGGAAGAGGGAAGAGTTCTCAAGATCAGCGGAGAGAGGAGCGTCGAGAAGGAGGACAAGGGCGAGGAATGGCACCGGGTTGAGAGAGGCCGCGGCAAGTTCCTGCGGAGGTTCCGGCTGCCGGAGAATGCCAAGGCGGACGAGGTGAAAGCGTCGATGGAGAACGGCGTCCTGACTGTAGCCATCCCCAAGCTGCCGGAGAAGAAGCCGGAGGTGAGGTCCGTCCAGATCACCGGCTGAGAAGGTTGTGTTACGTTGGTTCGAGCGGCTTTTTAATCCGATCGCGGTGCGAGGAAGGTGATAAGAGTCCGAGAGAAGTTTGTGTCATGAGTCGTTTTGTACGTTGTTGTGTGTGTCCAGTGTGCCGTCTCAGCATTTTGGCCTAGATCGAGGATTGTAATCCGGCCAGTGCGCTAATAAAGTTGTTATTATTGCATGTAAATGATGTTTTATTCTGATTTCCAAACGACGAGAACCAGTAATGATACATCATTTCGACCAAACAGACAGAAATGATAGACCCGCCGAGGCGGCTTCAGTACAATTACAACTTTGCTGGATAATTGCAGAAAAAAGGCATCGGGAGTATCATAACTTTTTATGGGGCTCATAACTTTTATAAAATATTTATTTGAGTGCCATGGACCATTTTTCATTAGTTGATTGAAACATTATGATTAAGATAGGTGAAGGTTTCCACTTTCTATTTCTTGGCTAGTGGGTCATTTCTTGGCTAGTGGGACCGGTTCTCTGGATTCACCCGAGAAATGGACCGAAGCGATTCGGTTCCCGGGTGGATCCATGGAACCAACGGTCGGTTTCTGATTCTAATTTTTTGAAACTGGTCCTTAGTGGGCGGTTTCCGATTTTAGAGTAGAAATCACCCACCCGGATTATGCACACCCTTAATATGGGATACTTATACATAGCAAAGTCTTAAAATTTATCAATTTCGTGCGCCGAAATCAAAAATTTAAGTTCGTGGATTCAAGTCCTAAAATTATACATTTGGTCCATTTTATTTTTTTAGTCAACATTATCAAAAAGGACTTAAAAGTGTGTAAGGTTGCAAGTCCTCGTGGTAGTCCTTTTTTATATGTTTTCACATGCAACTTGCCCATCTAGCCCCAAAAAACAAAGAAAACATCCAACTTGACAACTTTGATCAACAAGAATGGAGGACCCATCACCAAATTATATAATTACCCGCTTCTCTCTCTTCTCTCATCTTCATTCTCATCTTCTCCAGGAGCATATCACCTACCGCACAGAGAGAAAACAAGGAGATGGAGGAGCCACTTGAGTCTCACGTCCTCATCCTGCCGTTCCCAGCGCAGGGCCACATCAAGCCAATGCTCTGCCTGGCGAAGCTCCTCGCCACCTCCGGCCTGCGTGTCACCTTCCTCAACACCCACAACAACCACCGCCGCGTCCTCCCACACAACCCCTGCTCTCCTCCCTCCCCCCTCCTCCGGTTCGAGTCCATTTCCGATGGCTTGCCCGATGACCACCCGCGGAGCTTGGAACGGATCGAAGAGCTAGTCCTATCGATCAAGATGGCGATGAAAGCTCACTTGAGGGAGTTTCTGCTTCGCGAATGCGTCCAGCTTCCCGTGACCTGCGTCATAGCGGATGGGATCATGTCCATTGGCATTGATGTCGCGGAGGAGCTCAGCGTTCCGGCAATCTCGTTCCGGACATACAGTGCTTGCTGCTTGTGGACTTACTTTTGCATCCCCACCTTCATTCACGAGGGCAAGCTTCCATTTCCTGGTAATCGGTCAATAAAGGCCAATGATATTCGTATTTGTTTAATCTTATGGAACTTGTGTCTTCTTGACATGTGTCGAAAGGGAAATATGAATGAATGAGGGTGGGTTGTAATTTGACAATTTAGATATAGAATATTGAATATAAGATAGTCTGATCCGTTCAGTTCACATGTACAGAGATTCTCTTAGTTTCAATATTTAAAAAAGTACTTGAAGATAATAATTATCTAATGGGAGTTTTTTCGAAAAATTCAATTTTACTTTTAAAAGCTAGTCATATGGAAGCCGTGACAAATCAATGCAAAAAAAAAAAAAATATGAGTTGTCGGCCGACCCTCCCATCTTTCTAAGGAAATACAATGTTTTTTTAGAAGGAAAACACCAAAAAGAGTATCTTGAATTTCCACCCGTGTATCTTTTTGCATCTTTTAATCTTAAAATTTCACATTTAGATCCTTAGTTTATTTGCATATGAGCCACAATTAGAGGTGATCGGTTCCCGATTGGTCCTAGAACTGGGAACCGGTCGCTTTTTTTTTTTCCTACTGCTTGATGCCATCTCTTTGTGTTTCCCACTATTTTTTTTAGAAAAAGATATGAGCAAAAGGACCCTAACTATGTGCTCATATATCTTCAACGATAAACAAAAATTAAAAGTAGATTTATAAATTGCATATTGAAACAATGAACTAAACTACCAATCATCGAGAGATAAGGATTATTTTGCAACCATAAATGATCAAACATCAGTAATGATCCTCAAATTGAAAAGACGAACTAAAAAACGTACTTCACTCGGGGTTTAGTTCACATTTTACTAATTCTTTTGAATAAATAAAAAAACAGGTATATATAACCGGTCTAGTTGATCTGGTTCTCTTTGCAACCGGAAATCGGACCGCTTGGACACCGATTCCACTTTTAGGAACCGGAAACCGAACCGACACTCCTGGGAACAGACCAAACCGGTTGGTCTAGTCTGGTCCAAGCGGTTCCTGATTTGGGCAATCCGTTTTGCACACCCCTAACCACAATGCATCCCACAACGGACCTGTTATTACCACATTGGTCATTTTTTGGCACAATACCCCTGGCACTTTTACTTTGGCCATCATTCACCCAGAAACAATACGAGAGTTATGCATATACATGTAAAAGTAGTCCGGAGATCATGGGAAAAATGAGGTGAATCTATTCCTTTACTGTTAATCTTTTTGACGAAATTTTGGCAGATGATGATCTGGACAAGGAGTTCCATGGCTTGCGAGGAGCTGAAGGCCTTCTGCGACGGAGAGACCTACCGAGTCTTTGCAGATCACAGATCGATAGCAACTTATTTCGCTATTTTATAGACGAAACCATTGCCATGACCCAAGCTTGTGCTCTCATACTCAACACATTCGATGCCCTCGAAGCCCCGATGCTCTCACATCTCGCCACCATCTTTTCCGATGTCTACTCGATCGGGCCCCTTCATGCCCTTGCCATCCAATCCAAAGGAGGGCATTCTTCTGGACGTTCTGAATCCGTAAGCAGTCTTTGGATTGAAGACCGAAGTTGCATGGCGTGGCTCGACTCGCAAGCATCGAGATCGGTCATCTACGTGTCATTCGGGAGCTTGGTGAAGATCACGGTCGACCAATGCATGGAGTTTTGGCACGGCCTGGTTAATTGCGGGAGACCGTTCTTGTGGGTCTTAAGGGAGGACGCGATTTTGGGTGAGAAAGAGGATAATGTGAAATTACTACTTTTGGAACTGAAAGTTACTAGCGAAACACAATGCCTTGTGGATTGGGCGCCGCAAGAAGAGGTGCTTGCTCACCCTGCTGTCGGGGGTTTCTTGACGCACAGCGGGTGGAACTCGACCTTGGAGAGCATAGCGGCAGGAATCCCCATGATTTGTTGGCCTCGCATTGCGGATCAACAAATTAATAGTTGGTGTGTGAGTGAAGTTTGGAAAATTGGGCTTGACATGAAGGATACATGCGATAGATCGACGATCGAGACATTGGTCAGGATATTGACGGAGGACAAGAAAGAGGAGATAATGAAATCGATGGCTAGGATTTCAGCATTGGGCTCGGATAGTGTTGGCCCGGAGGGATCTTCATCGAAGAACTTGGAAAGACTAATTGAAAATATAAGGAAGATTGGTCGAACAAGTTGAGTAATCAGAATATAATTTAATGTGAATCTCCCAAACTGCGTAATTGTTCACTTTGATGAGGCGACAATGCTTGTTTCACATAATTTTCTTTTCTTTGGCCATGATAATTTGTATTCAGGAACCATCTATCATAGAAAATTTCATAAATATTGTTATTATGTACCATGTCAATTGGGTGAGCAGTGCCTTAATGTCGCAGATCTTTGTGACTACCATGATTTAGGCTTACCATGGTGTATTGTCAATGGTCACTTGGGTCAAGCAAGTGTCAGTATTTCATAATCTTCCTATTTTTCGTAATTTCTAAATTGTGCCATCTCAAAATAGCGCGAGCCTTTTGTAAATACTCAAGTCTGTTCACATACTCTTATCGTGAATTGTTTTTAATTTCTATCGTTTTCTCAATCTTAAACTCCCATAATCTCATGTTGTTCTATCATTGAAAACATGTTATTTTTCAAATTCAAAAGGGGAATGAGCTATGTTTCGTATTGATTTTTCTTGTTGGAGAGGCATGAGCACGAGCATGAGCATCACCAGGAAATAAGCACATGTATATTGCAAGCGCTTGAACTGGCATGCTTGACTACCTTATACTCTTAAAGTTGTTTTTCAAAACAGAGTTTACCAAAAAGTCTTTGCATTTCCTCAAAACTCTTTAGGCTAAATTGCTTTGCATGTCCCCAAATTCCCTTGAAAATGTTAAACCAAACGAATCCTAAGTGGACTTGGTTGGTCCATCTTTTCCGGGCATTTTAAGGGTACGCTTCCTAATATTGGCACGGTGCATTCGGGATTTTATTCCTGGACCGCTCCCAATAAAAGCTTAAACCAAGACCACAAGAAGAGAGGCAAACTCGAGTGTGATCAGCTTATCTCAGTAATTAAATATGGACAATTAAATAATAACATGTCAAATTTCTTAATGCAGACCCAAAGAATGTCTCGGTAACCCCATTATGACCCAATTTACAAAGGCTGGATGAGCAAGCACAGGTCCAACGGGCCTTGGCCCGGGCCCGGGCTGGCATGGCGTGCTGCTCGGGTCTACAAAAGCGTGTTAATTTCCTTCAAGAAAATAAGAAGACGAGATCACGGATCGATTGCCGAAGACAGCGCTAGGATGGTGGGCCGAAGACACTTGAGGACTCGCGGATTGGAGGGGAAAGACCGGATGCTCGGTTGGTGATTGGCGGTCGGTGGTCGGAACCGGGCGATGATGCCCGCGGGAGGAGGCCGCGGTGATGGGGTACCGTGTGTGTGGATATGGCAGGCGAGAAAGATAGCCGCAGAGACAGAGAGAGGGGGAGAGACTAGAGGAAGTGATGCATGTCGCTGAGTGTTAGTGTCTTGGATGTGACGGTGAAGTGAGCGATCCCGAAGTGAACGACGAAGTGAACCTCCCCTATTTTGACCGGCCATGCGATGCTTGTAAGTTACATGGGCATGAGACAGTCCTAGTTTGACCTGGCTTATGGACCGTTCGATGTACGGTGATTAGGGTGGACGGTGGGGATTAGATGAGAGTAAAGCGAGCGCCCTACAAGGGAGGAATCCCATGTATGCTAGTCTATAGAAGTGAGATTGAAGAGCCGTGTGATAGGCATGTGATGATGCCACGTGCATGGCACATGATTAGTGCATGTGCATAGCATGTGACACAAGCATGTGATTGTCACGTGACCAATGCACGTGCATGACATGTGACCAAGGCACGTGGGTGGGAGTTCGAAAGGCCGGGATTATCCCGAACAACACCTTCTCTAACTACCTTATCCAATTTGTCCAACCTCGAGCCCATTTCCACAATTTAGGAATGTGAGGTTCGAACTATCGTCAAAGACCTCGGAGCTACTCACAGAGCTACCTCGAGCAGCTTGTAACATGCTCGATGCAAAGACGGTTGATCTAAACATTATGAGATCCTAAATGTAAATGTACGCGATATGGAATGTAAATATGGAATGTAAATGCAAACTATCCAAAAAACAACATTATTATTTAGGGGTCAAATCTAATCCCTAATTTTCTTATGAAATACATGGCAAGACTAAGAGCAAGTCCCAAAAAATTGTCAATTTCGCGAACTGAATTTCTAAAGCTTTAATTTCATGCATTTAACTCCCAAAATTTATATACTTTTTTGGCCCAATTGAGTTCTTTTGTCAACGGAAGCAAAGATTTAAAAGTTGCAAGTTTTAGAACTTAAATTAGTGAAATGATAGTTTTAAGACTTAGTGTATGGAATTGACAAGTTTTATGACATGCCAACCAGTCCAGACTCTCGATCATTGGGCCTCATGGTAGTCTTTCGTTCTTATGTGTTTGTTTCTAGTCACAGCCAACTTGCCCACCTTGATCAACAGGAGGACCCATCACCCAAACTGAGATGATCATCCCCTCCTCTCTTTCCTCATCTCCATTCTCGTCCACTTCCGAAACAAACGACCCTGCGCAAAGCGATCAGTAACACCAAACAGATGGAGGAGCCACGCGAGTCCCACGTGCTCATCCTTCCGTTCCCGGCTCACGGCCACATCAAGCCCATGCTCTGCCTCGCGAAGCTCCTCGCCGCCGCGGGCCTCCGCGTCACCTTCCTCAACACCCACCACAACCACCGCCGCATCCTCCCCCGCAGCCCGTCCTCTTCTCCCTCCTCCCTCCTCCGTTTCGAGTCCATCTCCGATGGCTTGCCGGACGACCACCCGCGAAGCTTGGAACTGATTGAAGAGCTTCTCCTCTCGATCAAGACGGCGATGAAAGCTCACTTGAGGGAGTTTCTTCTTTCCAAAAGTGCAGAGCCTCCGGTGACCTGCATTATAGCGGACGGGATCATGTCGATTGGCATTGATGTCGCGGAGGAGCTCAGCATTTCCGCGATCTCGTTCCGGACATTCAGTGCTTGCTGCTTGTGGACAAACTTCTGCATTCCCACCTTAATGCATGAGGGCAAGCTTCCATTTTCTGGTAATTCGGTCGAAAAGGCCAAGGGTATCCTTATTTATTTATATTTATGAAGCTCGTTTATTCTTGACATGTCTCGAAACGAAAATATAGATGAATGATGATGCGTTTCGGCTTGAAGAGAAGAGAGTCATTTTACAATCTAGATGTAGAATACTGGATCTAAGGATACAGATGTGTGATCTGTTCTGTTCATGTGTGTAGAGATTCTTGAGCTTCTAAATTAAAATGTAATTGAACATAGGGAAAATTCCAAGGGCATGAAGTGTCATCATTTCCTTAAATAAGGTCATAAAGTGGATCCTGTTTCAAATAAGGGCTTGAAGTGGTTATGACAGTTTCAAATAAGGGCTTGACCTCATCAGCCGGCTAAATATTCCGGCCAATCAAGGGCATTTTTGTCAAAGACAATTTTAACCTAAATTTTAGTTAAATTAAATTAAAAATTAGGAAGGTTAAATTATTTTAAAAAAAGGAAAAAAAATACAGGCAAAGGGTTAGCTCCCAACCCTCCCGCCTATGGCCATCGCCCCATCGTCGGTGGGGCGTCGGCGATGGCTGGTGGGGTCGACGGTGCCTCGGGAGAGGGCTATGGCCAGACTTGCGCGAGGGCTGGTGACCCCGTCGGCCATCGTCGACGCCCCACCGAAGATGGGGGGACGGCCACAAGTGGAGAGCCTGGTTTTTTCTTTTCTTGTATGTTTTTTTCAAGATTTAACCTTTTTTTTTTCTTTTTTATGGAAATTTTTTTGGAAATTTTAACCTAATTTAATTAAGATTTTGTGTAAAAATTAGGATTCAGATTAAAATAACGTTGTTTTAGTACTTTAGTTAACCTTAACGCCACGTAGGAGAGATAAAATATTTCAAAAATAACTTCAGCATTTGCTGTTAGTTAAATTGGACGAAGTTAACGGAACGACTTGCCAGCCGTTGCCAAGGTCGGGTGAGGGTCACAGCCTTCTCCGAGCATCACCGGTGGCCGGTCTCAGTCGATAGTTGGCCATCGGCGAAAAGGAAAGAGAAATAAAAAAAAAGGAAAAAAGAAAGAAAAAAAGAAAAGAAGAAAGAAAAAAGGAAAAGAATTCAAAAAATCGAAGGATGAAAATGCCGATGAGGTTAAACCTTTCTTTGAGATTGATATGGCCACTTCAGACCCTTATTTGAGAAATAAGGACACTTCATAACCTTATTTAAAAGTGGATCCACTTCATGTCCTTATTTGAGAAAATAAGGATACTTCATACCTTTATTTAGAATTTTCTCTTAAACATATGATTACCTAATGGATTTATTTTTTAAAAAAGTCATTACTTTTGAGAAAGTAGTCACTTAGAAGTGGTGACAAATAAATGCAAATGAAAAATGAGTCTAGCAATCCAAGGAAACACAATGTTTGCTTTGAGAAGAGTTGCTGGCCGACCCTCTAATCTTTCCAAGGAAATACTATCCTTTTAAAAGGAAAGTACCAAAGAACTATCTCGAATTTCCACTACGAGTATCCTTTTGCATGTTCTATTTGCAAAATTACACATTTAGATTCTTAATTTTTTTTGCATATGCCCCACGATCCATCACCCGACAAACCCGTGTTTACCAACTTGCCATTTTTCCCTAACATACCTCGGGCACTTTGCTATGGCTCCAATTCACCTCATCCTAGACCCGTTTCCAAAATGCTCAATGAGTGCATGCTTTGCTGCTCGTTGGAGCCACCCTTCTTTGTCTCGCGTCTCTCTCCATCGTTCCCCACCCTCCCAAATTGTGCACCGACCTCAAACCGAGGTCGTCGGTCTCTTTCAGGCCATGGACAACCATGGTGGCCCGTGACCTCGAATCGAGGTCGCCAGCCATGGCTGAGGGCATGGATGTCCATGGCCCAGGTGCGGCATGCGAAGAGAGAGACAGAGGGCCAACCATGCCGCGAGGGAGACGTGGGTGTTAGGTAGGGGGGCTACAGTCGGCGATCGATGGTGGTGGGAAGACTAAGGTTCTTGGGTAGGTGGATTTATGGATAGTGGAGCTGAGTTTGAGTTTTCTTTGGTCGAGGATGCAGAGATACATTTCTGAAAACAGAGGATGTAAAGCGGTGGAGTTACAAAACTTGAAGAGCGTATAATGCATTTGGAGGATCAAAATAGGCAATTTCCAAACTTTAGATACTACGGTTGGAATATTTCCAGAAAATATGAGAGTTTAGCAAAATGATCGAACATACACATGTAAAAATAGTCCGGCGATCATGGGAAAAATGAGGTGAATCTATTCCTTTAGTGTTAATCTTTTTGACCAAATTTTGGCAGATGATGATCTGGACAAGGAGTTCCACGGCTTGCCGGGAGCTGAAGGCCTTCTGCGACGGAGAGACCTACCAAGTATCTGCAGATCACAGATCGAAAGCTGCTCATTTCGCTATTTTCTGGACGAAACCTTTGCCATGACCCGAGCTTGTGCTCTCATACTCAACACATTCGATGCCCTCGAAGCCCCAATGGTCTCTCATCTCGCCACCATTTTTTCTAACGTCTACACGATCGGGCCCCTTCATGCCCTGGCCATCCAATCTAGTGTCGGGCATTTTTCAGGGCGTTCTGAATCCGTAGGCAGCCTTCGGATCGAAGACCGAAGTTGCATGATGTGGCTCGACTCGCAAGCATCGAGATCGGTCGTCTACGTGTCATTCGGGAGCTTGGTGAAGATCACGGTCGACCAGTTGATGGAGTTTTGGCACGGCCTGGTCAATTGCGGCAGACCGTTCTTGTGGGTCTTAAGGGAGGACGCGATTGCGGGAGAGGAAGAGGAGAGTGCGAGATCACTACTTTCAGAACTGAAACTTACCAGCGAAAGACGATGCGTTGTGGATTGGGCGCCGCAGGAAGAAGTGCTCGCCCACCCTGCCGTGGGGGGTTTCTTGACGCACAGCGGGTGGAACTCGACCTTGGAGAGCATAGCGGCGGGAATCCCCATGATTTGTTGGCCTCAACTGGGAGATCGACAAATCAATAGTTGGTGTGTGAGTGAAGTATGGAAAATTGGGCTTGATATGAAGGATACTTGTGATAGATCGACCGTCGAGACAATGGTCAGAATATTGACGGAGGACAACAAAGAGGAGATCATGAGATCGATGACTAGGATTTCGGGATTGAGTTCGGATAGTGTTGGCCCGGATGGATCTTCGTCAAAGAACTTGGAAAGACTAATTGAAAATATAAGGATGATTGATCGAACAAGTTGAGTTATTAGAATATAATTCAATGTGAATCTTCCAAACTGCGCAATTGTTCAATTTGATGAGGGGATGATGCTTGCTTCGCATAATTTTCTTTTCTTTGGCCATCATAATTTGTATTCAGGAAGCATCGATCACATAAAACTTCCTAAATACCACTATTATCTACTATGTTAATTGGGTGAGCGGTGCCTTGATGTCGCAGTTCCTTGTGAGTACCATGATTCAAGCTTACCGGTGCACATTGTCAATGGCCACTTGGGTCAGGCACGTGTCAACATAGTGTAAAGATACTTTAGATATTTCATAGTCTTCTTTTTTTTTTTCGTAATTTCTAAATGGTGCCATCTCAAATAACTGCAATGTCTACTCGTTAGAGAATATATATTGTTTGAAAAGCTTTTTGGGGTTCAACTATTAAACTTCTATATCCCGATAGTCTCATAATGGGCATTGTTTACACCCTTATTTGATGCCGCTAAGTAGATCATTTTCTCATGACATGCTTATATTATTTTTTTTCTAATAAACGATCCTACGACCTGTGCGTGCGCCTTAGCATTGAGATCTTGCACGCTTGAGTCGACTAGGATAGTACTTGTGACTGAGGATACTACACATTGCACAATCCTTTGAACTGGGCCGAAGGCCCGGACCGCCACAGTTTTTTTTTTTTTTGGGTCAGAAGACCGCCACAGTTGGACCACCTATTCTTTTGCTTGTTTGCGAATTGAACCAGTGTACTTTGTTTGTGGTAGATAGGACTCCCTCTAATTACATAACTAGGAAGAGAGCCACTTTTGCTTCTTTTAGGATAAGATAGTCACCACTGACAGAGGTATAGACTGTATCTATAGAATACTAGTAGCATACCCGGGCGTTGCACATCGTGAAATTTCTCATTTGTGTAAAATTGAAATGTATTTTAGTATAAACTATTCGTTAAGTTGTATCATATATATTTCATATGAATTCTTCTTTTGACCAAAATAAAGTCAGAACTATTAGTTTATTAATGTAAAATATAGGAACTCAATAACAATCAGAAAATTTCTGATTGTTTTCTAATTGTCCTTATTATATGACATAGGGAAATTTTAATAACTAACAACATTACTGAATATTGAGAGAAAATAATAATAAAAATTCCTAGAAAATACATAATAGGAAGACTTACAAAAAAATGTTCAAATTTTCAGTAATTGCTAGTTTGAAACATTAAAGCGAATGTGTTTTTTTTGTTGTTGGACAAAACTCATGTTATTTTGTTGCGACCCTCCCGAGATCAACCTTGAGGGAGTTTAATGGATTGCTAGGCGCATATAAACCTCTTGTGAGGTGGCGCTTTAATTTTGTATGGGCTCTCTTAAGCCTTACAGATCTGAATTTAAAAATTGCATGTTGCATGTTAGTAATTTTAGATTCCATCTTCAATAAATGGTGCATTTAGGGAAATATTCATTTGCACATTCACATCATATAAATATATTCATTATCTTAGTATTGCATTGCATTATAAATTTCATTATGTTAAAATTTATATCATGTTTAATATCTGATTTTAGGAAAATAATCTGTTTAATGGAGTCTTTTACATAGCATATGACTTGCATATTCACTTTCCTTTCATGCTTTAGTTTATATTAGGAAACCTGACTAAATATTTTGGGACTTTCCATTTATCCGCTCACAATGTTCTGTCCCGACGTAACAAGGTGGTTATGCTTAATTATTACCCAAGATGGCTCGGGTTGGATTTACTTATTTATTTATCATGTTTTTATTATTTTTTTTGCTATCTAGTGTTTGAGTACATTGGTTGTGAACCAATGCATGATCATTTAAGCTTACATGTTTAGGAAATAGAATCAATTAAGGTTGCATGTCAAATGTTTTCCTCAAAGAAAAGGTGCCAATAATAGGTGTTAGTTTAATCTAACGAAACCAACTCTGCTTCGCAAAGGTAAAACGATCTTTGGCGATTTACCGAGCTCCTAACCTGCTTAGTAAATAGTTTAGTGGTGACCCTAAGACAATCATGAATTAATGAGAGAAACAAACTAGGATCGCTAGGGCTTGAAAAAGTCCGGGCAAAGCGTAGGCTCACCTTGCAAAAGGATTATTTGTCGCCTGGTAACCTATTTGTCGAATATCTGAATTCGATCCTATCAACGATGCAAGAAAAGTAATGAAAATTCGCACAACACAAGAATTTACGTGGTTCAGCAGGAGAGATGTTCCGTCTACCTACGTCCACGGTGAGATGAGATCTGTTTCACTAATAACATAGAAAAAGTGTACAGCCACTGTATCTCACTCCCTCCCTCTCTCACTAGAGACCTGTTTCGCCCTAAATATATATAGCGAAACCCTCCATGGCACAAATTACAAAATTGCCCACATAGCCTAAAATATTTAGCTTTCCCATAGAGATCCTTCTATGACTGAACATAAAACGCCTCTGGCGGCCCGGGGGCGCTGCCCCCGCGACCCCCGTCGGGGCGGCCCCCCCGGACCCCCGCCCGCTCACCGGGGAGCGGGACCCCCCGTGCTGTCCAGTCGTCAGGGGGCCTTTCGGAACCGCCTCATAATCTCTTAGATAATAGAATACAATACATCAACCTCAACACTATTAGCTCCGACAGGTTCACTTCGAGAGGGTCGTGAAAAGAATCAATGAACTTGATCAAAGGAAGGCAATTTTTTGTAGTGAATATTCCTAGTTAGTTATTAAACAAAACTTTGTATGCATTCTTGGGGGACAAGTGCAGAAATAGGACTTAAAGTTTTGGCAGTTGGTAAATTGAGGAATTAAGGACTTAAAAATGTCACAATTAGATCTCGACCTTGCCATTGATAGAATTCAAGCAAAGGAAATAAAACATGGCCAATGGCCAAATATTGCACTTGAGGGCCTCATTGATATTCTAACACTTGAATTTCGCCGACAGTGAGCTTGAGACCCAATGAGGCCTTTTTGAAGACCTTAATCCTCAATCGACCAAAATAAAACCTTAATAAGTTCTTCATTGACAAACGGCCAAAATGTTAAGTCTTGTTTTGGAATTTCACCTCACATTCTTAGTATGTCTACACTATTCATAACGGAGTTGTAAGAGGCCTTTTCCTTTTAAACTTTTTTTTTATTGGGCTACAGCTTTTCCTTTTTATCTTTGGTCTTTGCTTCTTTTTCTGTTGTTAGTATCTCACCTTTGCTAAAGTAAAAATGATGAGCCGAAATGCTTTTCTCATCTTAGAAAAAAAAAAGCATGACTATGTGAGTAAAAGATCCACGCCTAGATTTGAAACTAGACGAGCCTCTAAAGTATGATCCCGATGGCTGATATTGCCGCAAGCCCAAGAACTTTAGTCCCCACGGTGTTCGTGGACTTGGTATGATATGTCTGTATCTTATGAATCAACAAAAGTAGTACTAATGCTCATTTTTCCTCTTTCTCATGGCTCGGAGGGACCAAAGCTAATACACATACTTCTTAGCAAAATATCTGCGACCACCTCGCTTACGATTTAATAGGATTTCGAAAATCATTTATGGAGTAAAATGTGTTTCGTCATGGTCACATTCCAAAGTCTCGTATTGGATGATACAGACCTTGTTTAGTAATTCATAAGTCCCAACCCCCACTCAAAGGGTCACCATATCGGTGTGGTTACAATTGAGTATTCTTTTTGGGGTGCCAACCCACATTGAAATCAGCCGAATTATTGCTAATCATGTCCAAGACAGGTTCCCCCCGTGGATGTGTGGTTCATGCATGGAATAGACCCATACACCACTTTAATAAGGGTAAGAAGTGCTAGCTAGGGCGAGATGGCTCGAACAAGATGCGGCTTCTGGCAAGCTCCTAAGAATCTAATTAGACATTGAATAGGAGAAGTATTGTAGGTGATATGGAGTAATGTTAACGAGGACGTCATTTGTCGGGGTAAAAACCGCTCAGTTAAATGATTCATAAGGCACAACCTCAAATGGTCACAATCTTGTGTGGTTACGCCTGGCTATTCAATTCACGGGCTTGGGTCGCGTAGAATAGGCCGTGTGGTTATAATTTGATTTTCTGATCCATCAGACATTGTTCTATGTACATCCTCTGACACTGTGTAATAATGCAAGTTCCCATATTTTGCACAAAAAAGAAAAATGTGTCGTCCAGAGAACACTAAGTATGAAATTTAAACTTTCTAGTAAAGTTACGTACGAGGTATAAGATTATATTTGCACTTTGTCTTGATGCATTTGGTTTGAAGGGTCGCTATCCAATGTCATCCGATGTTCCACATATTATTCAGAACCATAAAAGTCGTAATTAACAATTGATCCATGAAAAGAAATGGCCGACCACTCTAATCATATACAATAAGAGCAAATGTACGAAAAGAAAAAGAAAAAGAGAAAGGTTCAGCTACAGTCGAGAAGCAGCGTTTGCCCGATTAGATGTTAATCATTCTTAAAATTTTTAATCAGCCATGGGTAATTTTAGTATGAACAAAGTATTTCTTTTATAAGTGAAATAGTTACATGAAATGTGCTAAAAATTGGACCTGTCAAAATGGATTATAGACTCACTTCTTAACCTACATTTGATGGGCTGAGTTATTACATGGGTTAGTTATATTCAGTTAATGGGTCATAAATGGGTTTAAAATGGTTAAGCCCAAAATAATATGGATGTTAAATGGGTTCACAACTTACTTAGACCCAACCCACTTTTATGACTCTTTCTCGCCTTCGCTCGATCTCGTGCTTGCTCATTCCATATATGATTTTTCCTAAATTGAGTTAAATATGTAAGTGTTTTAGTAATATAGATCGAGTCGGATAGGGGTTGAGTCGTATATAGGTCACTAGATTTGTACTGCAAGAAAACTGGTCAATTTGGGTCGAATCATTTTTGACCTGAACCAAATCCAACTTGACCCACCCGTTTGACAGGTCTAGTGAAAGTACTACAGCGAGGATGGAAGTGGGTACAGAACACTTGGTTTAGTTGTTCTGCACATATAGAAAATAGACCACGACGAGTATTTCGTGAACAAGCATCTTAAGTCCGCAACAAGGCCTCTCAAATGGTAGTATCCAAGTGCAGATGTCCTACTATCTAAAGATCCGTAAAACATTCTGCAAGCCCCATCAATCGATTAATTTTGGACCTTTGAGCTGGGTAAGTAACCCCCACTCAGGGTAATTGCATGCAAACAAATAACCTCCGGTTCATGAACTAGGAGTCCTCTCTGATACCCCAACGATGCGTCAATTCCCTATCCTTTCGACATACAGCGAATGAACTGAGTAGATTTGGTGTAAAAATTCACATATTTTTAACTAGTGTAAAAGGATCCCTTCCCATCTTAAGATGAATATTGATGGAACAAGTAATGTCTCTTGTTAAATTGGAATTTGAATTATGTTCGATCCAGTGACTCAGACTTCTATATGGCTATTCCCTTTTATGATCCTTCCCTAGTGATTTGGAGCAAAAAGCAAAAGGGCTCATTTGATAAAATTGAAAAATAAGCACTGAAAATTTAAGCACTCAATTTTTAAGTGTTGGAAAATAGAATTCTAAAGTTGCTTGATAGTAAGTAAAATTGATGACTGAATATTATTAACTGCTTGTCATACAAGGGATTGTAATCATTATTGACATGCTTTAGCAATGTAATCGGTAGGATTCTAATTGCCATTAATTAGTTTTGTTTACTTTAATATATTAAGTATACCTTCCCTTAGGTCTACCGTTAAGTGACTTTCTTACTTGATCGAATCCTCAAGGCATTGTTCGTTATGATGACCAAACAAGTGTAATCTCATTAAATGCTGAATTTTTAATTTTCAGGACATAATTGGGTTACCAAACAGTGTCACTAGCCTCCAAGAGAGGTTGGTAGTCATCAGAATCAGGTTTTTGTGGGGGGTTTGTTTTCCATCTCCATTTCTTTGCCCTCCTGTTCTTCTCAATTCCACAAGTGATGAACATATGGAAACCAATGCATCTTCCTCAACCCTCTTTGTTTTGGGACCAAGGGGTCATTCAATTTCAGGCTGAAACGACCTCTCTCTCTCATTATTCATCTCTATGACACAGCCAAAAGAGATGAATGCTTCATATGGTCCACAAGCCTTAGGACACTCCCTCCTTTCGACTTTACTCTTAAGCCTTTGGCCTATCACTGTCTTGGCCGCCACCACATACAGGTCGGCTATCATATTAATGTCATTGTCCTGTACAACGTATGACAAAAAAGACATGATGAGTGAATTATTACCTTCAATGGGGCGACAGACGAAGATAAGTGCAGCGTAGAAATTATGTGGATTTACACGTCTATTGCGGTGCCAAAGAGGGTCCTCCCATGTGCTTTCAGATGAAGGTAAAACCAATTCCTACAAAGACTGCAGATCAAACCCTAACTGCGCAGTGAATCAAATGCACCTTGTAACTCCTTCACTCGGCACATATTGTTGCTCCATAACACCCTATAGCTCCAATACCTCGTCACGGTCCAAACCCGAGATCCGCCGATAATGAACCTCGAGAAAATCGTTCCAGACTTCTGCTCGTGTTTCAGCAGAAGTGTTTCCGCGTAATGCTTAAATATGAGAACTCTCCAAACAGAAGCTGTAGCTTTAAAATATCAAACACCACAAACAGTTCACGAAAACCTGTATATCGTTAATCCAAGCACAGCACATAGGCCCAACCACTACACATATAGGCATGACAGTAATATGCACACACATGGATGAGCAATACATTGGCCCCATACATCCTATCCATATATATGCGCGTCGTATTTTTTGTAATTTCTCAATTTTTATTTTCGAAAAACATTTTTTTGCTTTAGTAAAAGAGCGGAGATGGACGAGTAGTGCTAGCAACTCTTTTTGGGCATCACCATAAGAATTGCACACCCACTACGTATTATTCGGATGGAGCCATGGCTACTTTGCATCGTCAGTGACACGAAAGTCTTCGGTTGGCAAGCCCATCATCGCGGCAATATTAAGATGCTAATAGTAATGAAGTCTCTTCAATGTCGCAGCAAGGTAAAAACAATACAGACAATTCAATGATTCGTTTATTATCGTGATCTCATGAAAGTTAGATGATCCACTTACCACTAGATCAAACATGGTGGTGGTTTCCAAGTAACATATACACACGCACGCCGAACTTTATGATCCTCGATCGCATATTTGAGAATCTACACTATAGCGAGGGCGGAAATTTTGGCACGAACACGTCAAGCATACCATTGAAAACAAAGGGTGGCATGTCGATATGCGCAGGCCCACCAGATTTGTCCTCCAAGTTGAATAGAGCATGATGCTGGATTCCTGCATTGCTTCTTTCTCATGGCTAAGGAGAGAGAAAATCATTAGGGAGCTTTAAGGTCGGGCCCGCCACCACAGGCACACGCATCGGGATTCGCCGGAGGACAGAAGTCTCCATGGTCGGACCCACGTCCCCGAAAGGAGAGGCGCACCCCATTTGTCTCTGCCTCTCACGCTGCCGATTTGTCCTTTGTTTGTTTCCCTTTTCTTGGCACTGCTGACTGGTGTTGATGCCTAGAGTCAAAAAAGAGAGAGCCAAGGCTCCATCTTCTTTGCCACTGATGCCTCCTTTTCCTTCCCACAAATGATTTTATATTGCTTAATGGGGTGATGTCGATTGCCCTCGTTTTTGGGAAACGTTAATTGCTATGAATTCCTTTCTTTTGCTTACAATCTACTTCGCTTCTAGCTTACAATCTACTTCGCTTCTAGCTTGGTCTACCGCTCTCTCCTCTTTCTCTCTCTCTCTCTCTCTCTCTCTCTCTCTCTCTGTTTTTTCTTTAACCGCGTTAATTACCATTGTGATTATCTTAAGTTCATCTTCATCGGGATTGGAGGGGCCTCGTATTCTCTGGGATTTCCTCGTACTCGTGCGTTCTCTCAACTCCAAGTGAGTTCTAAAAGGTTTTTGTTTGTTTTTATTTTGGTGGGGTGTTCAGAGTTAAGCTTCTGGATAACCCCATTTGTCTGTTTCCCTTAATATTGATGCTCTGTTTTCTTGGTGGAGTGGCTTCATGCCCCATTAATAACTTTTGCATTTTACTCTTCTTGTATAGAAAGCAAAGCAAAGCACAGCACTTCTTGTTTTGGGTTATGTTATTTTCCCCACCGTGTGGATATCGGCAAGGACTTTGGATCAGTTTGTGTCATCCTCAGTGTCTAGAATGACCTTAGATCTGAACAACGGAGGGAGGGAGGTGAACAGTGAATATCTGCAGATTTTTTTTTATTTTTTTAAATTTTGGCACCTCAAAATTTAAAGCAAAGTGCACAAATTGCTTTGGTTTAGGTATGTTAGGAGGAAAAGCATTGTATAATCATCAGCATTGCATCGTTTCGTTTGTCAGTGTTTCCATAACTGAAAGTTGGAAGTCTGAGGTTAAAAAATTGCAGCACACAGAACTCAAAGTAAGGGCTTCCTTTGGGGGAACTCTATGCTCCATTCCATTGACATTGACCTTCTAGTTGTCCATGTACAGTGAAGATGGCTTTGCTCGAGCTGTCCGAACCAAATGAATGATTTCTATGCAGTTTGCGTAAGCTGATAGATTGATAAAAGAGGTTGCCTGCTACCATTTTGATATGGGACATTTGGGAAACTGCTGGTGAAGACAAAGAACATTTTGATAAAATGTTTTCTTTACGCATGACTAACATTTTAACTGGTAATCTTGAATCTGCTTTTGTACCGAAACCGTTGCTTCTCCTTATTAGAGTTTGTGAGTTTCCATGTCGAATTGACAATGCTTGTGGTCATTCCAGTTCAAGTTGCAGTGGCAATTGACAAAGACCTTCATTATATGTATAGCCATTTCGTTTTTTCATCCAAATTTTCAGCTGAAATGCTAATATTATTTTGGTTTCAATCCGTAGCATATTGTTGAGGAGATTTAGACTACTTATAATAATGATGCTGGAGAAGAATGATCCAAACCGTTTTTTGCAGTAACAATGGGTGGTGAAAACAACTGAAGCCATGGCGTCTGATGTTCCGTCAAAGCATGAAGTCTTCCCTCCAAACAGGGATAGGAGATCCAACTCACTGGTCAGAAAGAGTCTAAAGCCGCACCAGAACTCCAAGAAAGTGAACGAGAGCATCAGGAAACCACAACGGTCCGAAAGGATCGGATATCCAGACAAATCGAGGCTACAAAATTGTCAGGGTGAACCAACCTTAAAGCATGGTTATTCAGGGGAAAAGTATGTGAATGCCCGTGTTGTCCAGCTGAAATCCTCTACAGATCAACAGAGACAGTGCACTAGCGGGGAGATTGTTAAAGATGATGAGCTTGCCAGGCACATGACCAATTTGCCTGATTATCTCCTTCGTGTCGATACCAGAGGAAACCTCCAGGGGAAAGCTCTGAACTTTGGAGTCCTGGACTGGAGTCGTCTAGAGAATTTCACTCGCAACTGTAACACCGGAACTCATAATCATCAAACTGAAAAGCGCGCATCTCTTGGTCCTAGCCCCAGTTATTGCAAGATGGATGGGATTTCTCGACGTGTCAAGCCCAGTGCCAGCAAAGTGGTGCGTTCTCAAGATGTTGAAAGTGCTTCTAAGAGTTTTTTGGAGGGGCATGAAAAGATAAATAGGGCTTACAGATCTTCGACAAAAAAGTGCACAGACGTTGCGCTCCAAAAGGACAACATAAACTCATTGAATCAGAGAATTGTATCAGAGTTAGGTGGTTCGTTGGACTTTCGAAACTCTATGTTTTCGGTAAGTCCTAGTAAGAGCAACAGGACAGTTTCCCGTGGCGAAGGGAATACCAGAGTGGGGAAAGTGGCTGAATCAGGCACCAGAGGAAATAATAGAGAACAGAAATGCATGTCAGTGGCTGGATCTTCATCATCAAAGCTGGGTATTGATGCCAGATCAATCAGTTTAAAGGAGACGGTTACTGCCGAGAATGACAAGACTAAGAAAAAAGTTGAAAAGTCATTAAATAGAGAAACCTTCAATAAACAATCTTCGTGGAATAAAGCAACCATAGCTCTACTTTCTACCGGTAAACGTCCACATAATAGCTCAATGGATGCATCCCAGAAAAGTGACACCAGCAAATTGTTTGATCGGAGTTTGACAGATGCAACTCGCAATTATTTCTCAGATGTGTTATTTTTCAGGGAGCTCCGCTCAAGAGAACTATGCTCAGAATTACCACACTCATGTCCAGTGTTGTTGAAAGTTGATGCTCAGAGAGAGACTGCTAGGAGAGGTTCAGAGCTTGAATTTGACGAGTCTTTGTCATGCAGCAGCAGGTCGGGGGATGAGCTGTCTAGCAGTAATATTTCTAATATGAGAAAGTCAAATGATAGTGACAAGACTAGAAATTCAAGCATAGGGGAGGGTATGGGAAGTCTAAATCGTGAAGCTGTTGACTCAGCTGGCAAGAAAAGTAGGCATCCATCACCCAACCAGCGGTTCAACTTCAGTTTCGGTAGGATAAGCAGAAGTTTCAGTTTCAGAGAAAGTGCTTCTGCTCCTCTCCGAAGTTCAGCATCTGTGACTGATAGATCTGGTCCGATGGCTTCAGGGGATTTTCCTTGCAGTGGCAATCTCACTAAAGAGAAGCCCGACATTGCTAGCAAAGGGAGGTCCGGCATTAGAAGATTACTAGACCCACTTCTAAAGTCCAAGTCAGCAACTTCATACCATCGTTCTGAAAGCATTCAGCAATCAGAACAGAGCTTAACTTCCCTGAGCTTGAGCCATGAATATTCCACTGAATCACTTCAAATTGGTAACCATGTTGCATCAACATTTGAAGCTCTTCTCCAAGTTACTAGTGTTGACGGACTCCCCTTATTCAAATTTGTGGTCGGTAAGAACAGCCACATTGTTGCTGCTGCCACCAAAGATGCGACATTTTCTGGAAAGAGCAATTGTGCGAGGAATTACACAATCTATTCTGTGGATGAAACGATAAAGAAGAGCGACAGCTGGATTGGACAAGGAAGTAAGATGAGAAGTGGCGGCTTTGTGTACAATGTAGTTGGTCAGTTGACGTGTCGTGATGCTTGTTCAGACGACTGCAATGAGCGGACTGTCGAGAGGGAATATGTTTTATTGGGACTCGGATTGAGTCGAGCTGACAAGGAATTACTGGATCCACCAATGAACAGGGAACTTGCCGCCATCATATTCAAGATTCCTATGGACAGGCCTAGCAATTGCAAAGTACAGGCAACTAGTCATAAATTTTTAAGAGTGGATTTGCAAGGAGAAAATTGCTTTTCCAAACTTACAAATGAAGATAACAATCATCTAATGGTCATACTTCCAGGGGGTGATCATAGTATGCCGAGCAATGGAGAACCTTCGTCATTGATCGATAGATGGAGAACTGGTGGGTCATGTGATTGTGGAGGTTGGGATGTAGGTTGCAAATTGTGCATTCTTTCTCCCCCAAAGGACTTCTGGGAAACATCAAGAACATCAAGTGTTTGCTCAATGTCGGATCACCTTGAACTTTTTGTTCAGGTGTGTATGTATACTTCATCTTTTCAGGTAATTGCATTGTGCACTTTATGCTTCTGGTTTCACCTGTTACTTTCTTGTTTACAGGGAGAAGCTCAACAAGAGAAGGCCATTTTCAGCTTGAAACTATATAGTACGGGAATCTACCTGGTCGAATTCAATCCTACAATCTCGTCATTACAAGCATTTGCCATTTGCTTAGCTGTAATAAGCTGCCAGATGTCTTCTGAGCCCTCTGATTGGCGTCAACTGTCCAAATCTAGAACTTTGCAGGGACATTCAGTCAGCGGAAATGATGTGAATCTGCCAAACATGACGCCGCATTTTGAAGTTCCCCCAAAATATCCTCCATATTTCCCATTCTCACCACTTGATAGAGTTTAATCCCAGGCAGGGGTGGATTGATTTTTCATCCAGATGTTTAAAATCCTTGACTTCCAAGAGGATTGCCAGCGAAGTCCGGAAGCGTATTTCTCATGGTAGGACTTGGACATTGCAACGAATTACGAGCCCTTCAAAGGGGTTTAGTTCGATGGCAGATGACGCAGGTTGTTATGTGTCTTGTATTTTACTAGCTGCTGTACCAGAACAAAGAAAATAATGTTTGCATTATGAAAAACCTGAATAGTTCTGTCCGACCTCTTTCACTGGGGCAAACCAGGTGAAATTAACAGTATGCAAACTTGTTTTCCTTGTACTGAGAAATAATGGCATCTTATCACTCAACTCTGAAGATGTGGATGAACGATAGTTACAATACAATATGAGGACTATCGCTGCTATTTTATGATTGAATTCGATTAAAGGTGGGAGGCAACCATGAAAGTCATGGTCTAATCTTATACTTTTTTCCTACTGTCGTCTTTCAAATTTGCTTTATTTGAGGAAGAGGTAGGGCTGAAGTTCATCGCTCTCGGACCATTCGAAGGTTTTATGCTTCTTCTTTTGGCATATTAACCTCTAGGTTACTAGATCGAATTAGAATCATGTGGAACTTGTTTCATCTGAGCCGCATACACTCTTGATAGCAATTGATACGACAGGTTCATGTCCAAGTTTCATTGTCAAGCACAATTTTGTGTCAAAAACTTGGCTAAGAAATTGATGGTGCGCAGGCTATTCCCATATGCAAGAGGAATTAACTTAAGGTATTTGATGTACCAAAAATATTTGCGCTTCTAGAGGGCTAAATAGTTTCATACCATAGTTCTAATTTTGGCTTTCCAGTCTAGGATAAACAGTCTAGGATAAGCCTCCGGTTGGCTTTTGCAGAAAACTGGTAGCTTGTTTCCTCATCCACAAGGCATATTTTAAGTTCTATTCGTTGAAGTTCAAGTTAAGTTGCCTAAACTAAATGAAGATAGTTTGGAATTTTACTTGCTCCCGGTTTCGGGTTCTGTTTCGGTTTTATCGAATCTGCAACGACAGTAGAAGCGTCGGTCGTCTTGGCCATGTCATGTTTCCGTCCTCGTTGTCATTACATCAGTCTTCTGCTCACATACTGGTAGCATGGCAAAGAGCAGGTAAAAGACGGCCAACCTAGAAGAAGAGCATCAATATACAGGCAAATTCGTAGTCTTTTAGGCTGTTCCTAAGTGATCCAAATGCCAGAAAATGAGTTAACGGAAAATGTTTTCCTAGTCAACGGAAGAGGTTTTCCTACTAAAGCTTAAATTAAAGAAAATGATCTACTCTTTAAAAAATTAAAAATAATTTTCCAAAATATAACTAATTAACGACGATTATACCAGAAACTCTGCGCTTTGGCACAGGAACCGCAACGCTCGTTCTCGAGCCCTTGACAGTAGGCGCCCGAGCTCGGGTCCATTGAGTGTGGCCCCATGACCTCGGCTCCCTGGCCCGGGCCCATTGAGGTCGGGCCCGAAACACCGATGCCCTTGCTAGGGACATTGGGCCCAATAACATTGAGGTTGGACCCAGGCCCTGGACCCTGGCGCCCACGTCTCAGTCTCCAACGCCCGAACCTGGGTCCATTGAGGCTGTGCCTGAGACCCTGGCGACCATGCTCGAATCCATTGACATTGGGCCTAGGTCCCTGGTGCCCGCGGTCGAGTCCATCGAGGCCGAGTTTGGGACCTTGATGCCAGTGCCCATGCTCAAGACCCCAGGCCTTGGGTCCATCCAGGACCTGGGCTCGGGCGTCGGGGACCCAGGCCCGGCCTTGATGGACTCTGGTACGAGCGCCAAGGACCAAGGCACTAGCATTGGGGTCTCGAACTCAACCTCGATGGACCCAGGTGCCCGCATTAGGGGCCTGGGCCTAGCCTTGATGGACTTGAGCGTGAGCGCCGATGTCTCGGGCCCATGCTCAAGTCCCAACCTCGATGGATTTGGGCCCGGTCGCCAGGGATGGAGGCTGGGCCTTGATGGACTTGAGCATAGGCGCCAAGGTCTCGAACCAACCTCGTTGACCCCAAGTCTAAGCGCAGGGGACCAGTTCTCGAGCACCGGGTTCGCGCGTAGGTGACCAGGACCTAGACGTTGGGTTTGGGGCTTAGCCTTAATGGACCCGGGCGCGTGCACTGGTACAGGAGTCACGAGCCCGGCCTCGATTAACCCAAGCTTGGGTGTTAGGTTCTTGGTTCCAGGCGCTGGGTCCGGGGCTTGAACTTGATGGGCCCAGGCTCGAGCGCTAGGGATCTAGGCCCGGCCTTTGTAGACCCGAGCCGGAGTGCTAGGGAGCTGGGCACGACCCTGAGTTCTTGGGGTCGGTTTCTATGGACCCAAGATCAGTGCCTGTGCTCGAGCCCTGGAGTTGGAGTCTGGGCTTGAGACCCTGATGCCCATGCCGGATTCCTTGACCATCCATGCACAAGTTACTAGCGTTCGAATAGTGTATATCTATTAATGAAAATTAAATGAGATTTTCCTTATTAAAGGACGGAAAATATTTTCCAGTTCATTTTCAGGTCTTAGCAAAATACCGGAAAAATATTATCATTTTCCTAAAAAATGATTTCTCATAAAACATTTTTCAGAAATGTCTGATTTTTCGCGTAACAAACGCAGTCTCAATCTCCTCGCAAAACATTATCCGATGATTTATGTGACGACAAGATATTATACTTCGCCGTTAGAACGAGTTACGTAGGTGCTTTCCCCTGGAAATTTAGTGATATTGCCTGCTTTTTTTTCGGTCGAAGTGATATCGCCTGCTTCGAAACGACAAAAACTAACACACTTGTATATACTATTTGCTCTTATTTTGTGTTTTTGATGACGAGAACCAATATCTCATCTATAATATTCATTTCATGGGTCAGACAAGACATGAGGTAAAGCCTCAGTCAATTTTCCAAACTTCAGATTATTTATGCCAGAAAGAAAAAGTGCATTGGATGGAGCCGGAGGGAATTGCCTTTTAGAGACACTAAATCACCATGTCTCATATCTGATTTTTCTTTTTATAAGTAAAATGAAGATGAGAGATGATACAGAAGTAAGTGGGCTTATTAATGGAAGTCTGCTTGAATAGGGACGAATCTTGAGAAACGAGCTTAACTTGTCAGTAAATATGAAAATTAATTAGATTGAAAATCTTATACATAACACACTTTAATATAGCCCGATTTTACTGGTATGAATTGAACTTTGTGGTTGTGGATCTGCGTCCCTTAAGCCAAGGTGGTAGATGGAGGCATTGTCTAGAAGCAGCCTCTCTTGGAAGAGTGCGTTCTTGAGCAATCGATCCGGCAGAACTACTTAGAAAGAGAGAAAAGATATTAGACAACGTGTGGTCGCAAAGACAAGGATAAGAATAGGATAGTGAGTAACTACAATAAAAAAAATCCCCTCGGGACTTTTATATCCTAGAACTTCTTTGCTACTTGATTGGCTATTAGAGTGGATATCGAAATAAAAAAGGAGGTTAAGTAAAAAGACATAAAAACTTACTAACAAAAAAACAACATAAACCTCCCTCAGTCCCAGCCAAGTGACCACTGCATATGTCAAATGGGCCCGGTCCCATTTTGTTAGTGGGCCAACCCGTTTGCTTTGATGGGTCGACATGGCACGGCACCTGTGCTAGGCCGAGCCGAGGCTGGGCCCATGGGCGGAGATTGCTCGGCCGGCCCATTTCATGTCAAGCATTTTCTAGGCCCTTTTAGTCATTTTTTTTTATTTTTTTTCTTTGCCCCAAAGGATCTTTTAGGCCTTGAACAGTACTACTAACCTGTCCTGTGGCTATTAAAAAAGAAATCGGAGGGCTCAGGTTCAAGCTCTGGCTTGGGCTTGGGCCTGGGCACGGCACGGCACGGCCATGTCGACCCATTTATCACCTCTAGTCGGGTTAGTTGGAGTCCCAATCAATGACGACCAACGGGTGGTGACAACAAAGCTCCTAGGCACATTGAAGGAGATCATCGAGAATGAGGAAGGAGGAGGACAACGACGACGACGATTCTGGTGTTCCGTGCATGTAAAATGATAAATCTTTTCCACGACCATAAATTCTTAAAAAAACACTAATAAGTGATAGATCTCGTAACAAAAAGATTCTAAACTTGCTTGGTTTGTCACTTGTTAGTAACTTGCCAATTCTTCTAGAAAGGAATTGGCATTATTTGATTCTTCATATTACCAACCATTTCGAAGATTTACCAACATTTATTTTAGAGGTCACCAGTGCCCTAAAGGTTCAATTTTTATACGAAATTAGTAATTTCATTTAAGTCATTTACCAACGTCTATTTGATTTTTGAAGGAAATCATCATCTTTGCAAACTTGGCATTGATGGGGACATATTATGCTCTTCCTCCTTATCCACAAGAAAATAAAAGAAAAACAAACTCAATATTGGGTGAACAAGAAAGGGACCATGATAAATGTAATAAATGTGATTCTCACTATCATAAGGAGAGACATGTTTGTGGGAACAGGAAAGAGACTAACATGGTTCAATTGACTGATCGATGGTGAGAACGTCTGCATACATGTCTTTGATTCACGACATAGCATGTGAACAAGTGTCGTTTTTTTTAAATATTTTTCTGGCTTCTTTTCCCCTTAATGTGTCTGTCGGTTGGACCAACTTATGTGCTTCTTTGTCTGCACTTCACACGAATTATTGTCCCAAGGTTCATTTAATACGACAAACAAGACAATTCAATGCCTCGCAAGTTCATGTCTTTCCCTCAAGACTCCGAAATATTTTATCTTGCATCACATGCATGCGCGCACCTTTCGCTCTTCTTACATGGACATCCAAACACGATGGGTGAGATGTTGCTATGATGAAAGTATTGATCTCTGTTCACAGGGGAAAATTGTCAAAAAAGTCCTAAACCTTTTGTACGGCGGCCAATTCAGTCCTAAACCTTTTAAATTCTTGCCAATTGAGTCCTTCCGGCCAATTTTGGCCGACCGGCGCTGACGTGGCCACCGACCGTCCAGTCAACGCTGATGTGGCAATTTTTAATTATTTTTTTTCAATTTTTTAATCTTTTTTAATCTTTTTTTTCTTTTTTTTTCTGCTTTCTTCCCTCTGGCCAGTCCGGCGGCCGGCCAGAGGGGAGGGCCGGCGAGGGCGTGCCTCGCCGGCCCCTGGCTGGGCGAGGCGAGGTCGGCCTCGCCTCGCCGTCGCGACCCAGGTGACGGCGAGGCTCAACCTCGCCTCTGCTGGGAGAGGCGAGGTCGGCCTCGCCACGCCGTCGCCTCGGGACGCGACGGCGAGGGGCGGCCGACCTCGTCTCGCCCAAAGAGGCAGGCGGCGGCCGACCTCGCCTCGCCAACTGGGCGAGGCTTGACCTCGCCTCTGCTGGGCGAGGC